ATCCATTTTCTCTTTTATATTTATGCATTTTTTTCCAAGATAATCCTTCTAATAATGATAGTTTTAGCTAATATACTTAATTAGCAAGGATATTTTAGGAATAACAACACTTATTTATTATAAATAACCAACTTAACTTATTTCTTTAATCTCCTCAAATAAGTCAATTGGGTCTTATAATTAGGACCGGAGGAGTATATAATTAATTAGTAGGGAGGAAAAACTGAATGGAACTGACGTTGACTAATTGAAAAACAGATAAAATTATTGTCTTGAGTTACACAAATTAAAAAAACTGGCTAAGTTAGTTTTTTTTTTTTAGAGTATGTGTTGATTTTTCTTGGATATTCCCTAATTATTGATAATAAAATTTTTAATATGTTAATTAGAAGAGATCATTTTAAGATAAAAATTACAAATTTTAGATAAAACAAAAGGAACTAAAATTTTATATTTAGTTAGAACTGAGATAAACCTACTATTCAATTTCTAGATTTCGGATTGAAATAGTATATATTAGTTTGTTTACAATATCCTTAATTGTCATAGTCATGAGGTTAGAAGTGGAGATTTGAGACCTAATATTGATTGTCAAATAATAATTAATACAAAATAATAATTAGTTGAATTACTTAAGAGAAATTGCAATCAAATTTTTTTAAAAAATTAATTACTCCGAAATCTATTGAAAAATTTTATAATTAATTTTTTTATTGACCTCATGCCATATCTTCCAATTATTTAAGGAAGGATGGAGGAGAGGGCATGGGGATGGGGATGTATTGTTATAATCAGAAGTCAATGTCGGAAACAAAAGATATGTTTGTCGAAACAATGAGATGATGCCAGAGCAGCCAAGGGTGGGGGTATTCACGTGCGTGACACGTGGTGGTCATGCACACTGAGAGGGGATGACGACGCCGTTGAAGCGTCCAGAATGACCCTTCACCCGCCAAAAGTGTATGGGTTATGTGGCAGTATGACCCGCCGACGAGATGTAGAGACAACCGAGCCACGTGAACCATCTCCTCCGCCATCATCATTTTCGTCATTTTCCTTCTAACCTCATCCGGCGCTATATCAAGTGGCTAGTGTTGGCCTAGTTAATTACAATAGAGTCTGGAGACATGTTGTTACATAAGATTCATTTTCTCTCATATTAATCAAAACAGATCGGATTATTTTTAAGTACTTTATAGTATAAATTACATTATAAAATAAATCTTATATTTAAAACAGGAAGAGTAATTGGTTAAGTTATATCTAGTATTTTAAAGTATTTGTTCACATACTTTCAATATTTTAAAATATTTTGTTACTCATTCAACATTTTAAAATATTTTTTCAGACATGTTAACACTCTAAAATATTTTGCGATAATGATTATACCCTTTATTTTTTTTTTAAGGAGCAGTTATGTTTTTTAAGTATTTTTTTAAAACTACTTTTAAACTCGTTACTAATTCCTCAAAAATTTTAAATGGATGTACATTAGATATCTTAAAATATTTTTTATTTATTTTAAGATACTAGATATACATGGAAAAAAAATATTTAAAGTGTTGGTTGAATCGCATAATATTGTATGAACGCATGTGATTTAAATGCTAATGGAGGGATGCTATCGTGCAAAAGGGGAAATGTTTTTATCTGCGAAGAGAAGGTATTGATTCTGCCTGCAAAGTATGTATGAGGGTGCGTTATTATAGTTGTAGTTATATCTAATAAAAACCTGGCTAAAAATTATACCCCTTTAACTTTCAATTTAATTAATTTGATTAAATTTAAAAAATTAGATAAATTAGTTAATTATTAAAAAACATGATATATTTTTCATAAATCACTATAATCATATTTCTTAATATTCTTATTCTCTCTCCTACTTGATTATGGTTAAGAAAATATCAATAGGGGTGATTTAAAAAAAAATTGATAATATAAAGAAGTGGTATTATATTTAAAACTAAAATTAACTTAATAACTACGTCTTACGTAAGAGTACATAATAAAAACAAAATCCAGTTTGAGTTAATTTATGATAAAAAAAAGTATGCCACACAAGCTACATGCTCCCTTTTTTTCAGATATATGCTCCCATTTATTAATATTCGAGAATATACAGCATGTTAAACTAGTTAATGATAGTGGATATTGAATAATGAGCAAATTAAACTCGTCCTTATAGTTACATGGGGTTTTGAATTAGGTACATATATATATATATATATATATATTAACTAATACACTCCTTTAGGGTGTGTTTGGATAGAAACTAAACCATAGTTTCAGAAGTGCTTTTACGGATTACGAAGTAAATATGTGGAGGAGATTATCTCGTTTTGCAGAAAAGTGCTTCTGAAACTACGGTTTTGGGATATCCAAACAGGCCCTAAGTTTGAGTTGACAGTGATGTTGATCCCCTACCGTTAGAAGATGCCCGAAGGATGTTGACGTGAACATTACTAAAACACGTCCATCTTCACAACCAGCCTCTGCGTCGAAGTAACATTAATGACACCTGCTTTCTTGAACTCATCAAACTAACGGCTTAAACTCAAAGGAGTGTATTGATAAAAAAATAATAATAATAATATAGGAGTTTAATTCAAAACTCACTATAACTATAAGGACTGAGAGTTTAATTTTCTCTTGAATAATTATTAAAAATAAGTACGTGTGCATTGAAATAATATAAAAAATATTGGTAGTACTTTTGTGAAGAAAAGTTATAAATGAAATCATTTTATAAATTCAAAGTGGAAGTGGGCTTCTGGGCCCATGGACAAATGGTTGCTTTCTGACCGGTCTCTAGTAATTTTCAAAAAATCTTTCGAAATTTCCGGAGAGGCCCCATGTCTCTCGTGTAACAGACAGCAAGCACACTAACTCATGGCCATCATCAATGAATTGCAGCCATTAACAATTAAGACATGACTCGTAAATATACATATATCTGGGATCTGCAAGGGATCTCCAAGTTTTGGTCCCAGAACTATCACAATAATAACACCTACACAGATGGCACAATCAATTACGCACCAAAATTGAACTATTTCTGATTGCTGATTTGATGCCAAACCATATAAATAGTTGATGCTTATGTTTCAACTAATTAAAAAGTTAAATACTAACTCCAGTTCTAATTATAAGATTTTGTTTACAGACTATAAATAAGGTCTTATAATTAGAACCGGAGGTAATAAGTTATTTCTATTCAGATGGTCAAATTAAAATGACCCCAATTAAGAGGATGATGATGGATCCTCACATGATGCTTTGTGCTGCCTCTTTTTCCTTTTACTTTCCCCTGAACACAAGCAACAAGTCTTGGAATTTGGAAATTGATTCTCGTCGAAATTGACTTCTAAATCTGCCATGATCTTTTAAGGCATCAGGAAGAATCTTCACATGTTTGTCGCGTTTCCTAATTTCTTTGTGATGAGGAAGTTCATGATTTTCAGAACAAATTTATTGTCGGAAAATTGAATGACTGAGAGAGGCGGGGATAGAGATGAGAGAGAGAGAGAGAGAGAGAGAGAACATGGTTAAAAAAAAAAAAAAGAAGATGACCAAAAAGACAAACTGAGGGGCTGTGACATCCTCGATGCGTGTCGTGTAATAGAAAAGCTGTCCATGCATGCAAGTCTGATATTATGTTCAATCTCAATCAATGCATTCAGATTGGATTTTAATAAGTTGGCGGTAAGAATCCTGAGATGGTGATCGATATCTGATATGCAAAACCCAGAATCAGCACTACTATGCTCCTCTTTTTTGATATTTTCATGTTAGACAGAAGCAGAAACAGTTCAAGTACTCTAAATTATCAGACCCTCGTCCGGAATGAAGACACTTCGGCAGCAATATTGTAATACTCTCACTGCCCCTATTTATAAGCTTCAAAATTTAGGAAGGATGTGATTGATTTTATAAGTTTTAATTTAGGTTTGTTTTAACATTTAATATAATTTTTTCAATAATGTTACCTTTAATTATTTCTCTTTTATCACATTTCTCCATATATTCTCTTTTATTTATTTTTATTTATTATAAGAGCATATTTTAAAACAAAAAAATATTTTTAATTTATTTATTATTTTTAATTAATTGTTTGTTATCCTTAATTTATTTATTTAAGCCTTATAATAAAGACAGGAGGGAGTACTATATACGTACATATGCAACATCAATCAATATAAATCAGTAAATTATAATAAACATCCAACTTAACGTCGTTATTTAAGAAATTTAATAATAATATCTGCATGGTGATATCGGCAATGTCTATCCTTTAACTTGGTGTTTTGAAACAAGAGACAGTGACAGAAGGGACTGCTAAAGGATGGGCGTCCACTCGGCCCAGCTGTTGGCTTCCGTCTATCTCCCACATTAATTATTCATTTCGTCCTTCGACCTTTCCCACGGACGGCCCTTGACCTTTCCTTTCTCTCTTGCTCCTTCGCTTCTTATAAATTTTACCTGCTTTCTCTCTCTCTATATCTCAATGTGTGTGCGTGTATCATCAAACCAAAACGATCATAATTAATAATGAAATACATTTTAATTTCTCACACATGGCATAAAATTAAAAAATGAATTACATTATTCATAGTACCTTATAAATAATTTAAATATCTGTCATAAATTTCATTCTACTGATAATATTTATAATTTTATATGGGATGGCCTCTCGCTCTCGGTTCACTTTTCTAAATGACGCAAGCCTTATGCTTTGTATGAAATTGGAAGGTAGGTGTGACCCTTGAGTTGAGGGAACTGGGTTGAGATCACTGAATATCTTTACGTGGTGTCGTTGACGCAGATACAAAAAAGATGGCACTATTATTGTGAAATGACAATATGTGTGTCTAATATGACTAACTCGATCGATATGTGTGTGTGAATGCGAGGCGATACGAAACTTTAACTTACCAAGAGCTCTCTATATATAGCCTATTATGTCCCCTGAGATGTCTGTGCAAGTCCAAATGTCTATCGTAATGGCTTCTAGTGCCATCAGTGCCGCCACTGGCTTGCTAAACCCAGTTGCATCGGAAGAACCTGAGAAGCAGAATAATGGGGCTTTGGTTTTCGACTCTGATTTGCTCCAAAAGCAACCTAAAATGCCCGATGAGTTCGTTTGGCCGTCTGGTGACTTGGCTAGAACCCAACATGAAGAGCTCAACGAGCCACTCGTGGACCTGAGTGGGTTCATGAGAGGCGACGAGGCAGCCATAGTGAGTGCGGCTGAGCTTGTGAGGGTGGCCTGTGTGAAGCATGGCTTCTTCCAAGTCACGAACCATGGGGTCGACCCGGAGCTCATTCGAGCGGCTTATGATGAACTCGACTCCATTTTCAAGCTTCCTCTTCACCAGAAGCTGGGTGCTAGAAGGAAACCTGGAAGCGCATGTGGCTACTCAGGTGCTCATGCAGATCGCTATACTTCCAAGTTGCCATGGAAAGAGATATTTTCTTTTCAGTATCATCACAAAAACGACGGTCACAACTCCGAAATTGTGGACTACTTTAAGTCTGTCTTAGGTCAAGAACTCGAAAACACAGGGTAAGCTCAATGAATTACCTCATCATCAGCGTAGTATATTATATTATATGACGCCACCTTTTTTTACCATAGTTCACCCAACCCCTTCTTACTTAGACAATTACTGTTGGGAGTAAAGATGGTACAATGATGTTATTGTCTAGTACATGAAAACTCTTCGGTCGAAACCGATCCTGTTTATAATTTCTGACTGCTAGTGACGAGATTGATCTCGCTTACTAGTTGGCTCTTTCGGAGAAGGGACCGACAAAAAACTGTTACGTGGAATTTAAAGCCTAGCTAGCTATCTTATTCCTGTTTCCACTCATGCTCCGCCGAGATCTATGAATTTTACTTGGACCCATTCACGATCACATAGCCCACATAAAGTGCTTGATTGAACATGCAAACCCACTTTCACTTTCTTGCGTTTAATTTTCTCTTTTTAATTGATGCACTAGTCACCTGTACTAGACACATGAACTATTTTTTATTATTATTTAACTCTGAAACGTCTGTTTGTGTTTTGGAATAATAGGCGGGTTTATCAAAAGTACTGTGAAGCAATGAAGGAAGTATCTTTCATAATCATGGAGCTGTTGGCCATTAGTCTGGGAATGGATCGTTTATACTATAGAAATTTTTTTGAAGATGGCTCGTCATTGATGAGGTGCAATTATTATCCACCTTGTAATAGCTCAAGCCTCACCCTTGGGACTGGCCCTCACACTGACCCAGTCTCATTGACTATTCTTCACCAAGACCAAGTTGGAGGTTTGGAGGTTCTTTCAGAAGGCAAATGGCTCGCTGTTCGTCCCCGACCCGACGCTTTCGTCGTGAACATAGGCGACACTTTCATGGTACCCTAACCACTAAACTTCTTCATTACTTACGTCAGTCCGAGGCTATATAGAGTCACGTTATTTCGTACGAGGAAATCAAGGAAGTCATAATTAGCCGTTCATAGCACAGGCAGTGTGAGAACAAGATAGAGATAGTAAAACAAATAATTTTTAAGAGACGAACTTTTTCACGGCAGTTGAAAGCAGACTTCAGCATTTTTCTCGGCGTCTTGGGAGAAATTCTCTGATAAAAATTACAAATGAGCAGAACGCATAATGTGTAGTAAATGAGGTTTTTAAAGTTTTAAAAAAGGACAAACGGTTGAGCGCCTGTTTAGGGCACAGCAACAGATTTGGCCCCGATCTTGATTCAGTTGAAATTTCAGAGAAACCACATATTCTAGTTTGGGTGAACATAATTAATTCGATTTATGTTAACTTTAACATTAATTGCAGAAAAATAATAAAATAGTATACACTTAATCCATGCATGCGAATTGACATATAAGCTTTTTGGGAAATTTCCCACTATCAAAAACACTTGCTTATTTCGGGTATATAAATACATGGCCGAGGATCCTCATGGGATTATTAACTCGGGGGGGGGGGGGGGATAAAGGCTTGATATGATATGTATTGATGCTTGATGTGATGCGGGGTATTATTATCATCAGAGATGTGATATGTTCTGCGATTTACTTTGAACTTATCTCCAAGGAAGAAAAGTTTATCAGTGGACTTCAACTATTCTTGGCGCTCATTATTTGTTATACATATTGGTCTGTGCTGTGTGATAGGCATTGTCCAATGGGAGATACAAGAGCTGCCTGCACAGAGCATTGGTACACACAGAAAAAGAGAGGAGATCATTGGTATACTTTGTGAGCCCAAGAGACGACAAAACAGTGAGGCCCCCAGAAAATCTGATGGAAGAAGAAGTAGAAGGAAGGAAGTATCCAGACTTCAAATGGTCAGATTTGTTTGACTTTACACAGAAGCATTACAGAGCTGATGTTGCCACACTCGAAAGCTTCATCCTCTGGCTTCGCTCGTCTCAGAAATCTCCAAACTAACTTTCTCTCCCTTAATTTGTAGGGCCCTTCAAAAAGATCCCACCTTTAAGAGTTCTTTCTAGTCATATTGCTTTTTTGAATTTGGTCAGGTCATGTCATTGCATTGGAGGGTTTGTCTCGTATTTGGTTTAGTTTATATATGATGCTCTCAGACTCTCACAAATGCAGTACAAGTAATTATCCTGTATATACAAGTATTTGGCTCAGCTAATAAAACTATGGATTTCCCCTGTTCCAGTTGATGCAAATAGTTTTGTAGTTTTGTCTGCCAACATATTCATTTTTCTTTAGAAATCGTTTTTATTCACCAATATCAATATAACATAAATAAAATATAAAACAAGCCAAAATTCACAAGTCATAAAGTACTTTCAAACCTCATATAATTAAGTAATATATTGAAAACCCACTTAAATAATTATTTAATCAAATAAAATTCTAATCGGAATTGAACATGTAGATTAATAACAAAGCATTCAATTTAATTATACTTATCTTTATTATATCATACACAGCAATTTCAATTTCTTATTCTTAATATTCGATCATTGTATGAATTTAATTGATAAGATCGTACTATAAGAGCAATTTTAATTTAGTGAAGCTCACAATTAAGTTAGAGCCACAAACATTCACAACATGAAGGAGCACTTATTTATGCAAGGATCTTAGAAGCTAAAGCATTTGCATGCTCTTCCACTCTCTTCGGCAACTGGAAGGTGTCCACTAACGCAGGCCAAGCTAAGTTGACCCACTTTATCCTCACGAGTTCAGGATTACCTTAAAATGGCCAGGTATTCCCCTCAACAACATTATTTTTAACCGAAGTTTTATTTTATTCAGTAATTCTTCAAATCAATCATTGCATTTAATTTGATCAATAAACAATGTGCTTGATCATTTAAAAAATTAACAAGTCTAATAATTAAAATGTTAAATTCTGCTTAAGATTGGGTTGAATACATATATAGTACGGATACTTCTCACAAAATCATTTACCATCAGAATCGACGTATAAGATCATCACCTATTAATTCTCACGAGCACCGCAGTTTTTAGGTTCTAAACGGACGCATCTTTTGAATACGGCATTATTAACCAAGAAAATTTGGAGGTTGTTCTTCGGATCGATTGGGTTTGGCAATATCTTTATATGTCAGTGTATGGTGAAGAAGTAAGGATATTTTAAAGGGAAATTTTCAGGGCACTTGGTTAACACTCTGACGTGTCTTGGATATGAAAAAGCCAGCAATTTAAGAATTGGTGTGATTTTTAATTGAAGTTCGACTACTAGAACCTTATTTCAGGTGATGGATGGCATGCAATGGAATGAGTGTTCACAGGTTTCATACTTATCTTTTACTCTCAACCAGCAAATTTCCAAAAAGAGGCCTTCTTGATCACTAAATAGAGAGATGATAAGTTAGTTAATTAATCTGATGAAGAAATAAAATTTGTACTTGTGCTGATGTGGCTGTTGGCATTAAATCTCTGGCAACTATTTGTGTTCACGTCCTAACTAAGAATGTGAGAGATAATTTTCATGACAGATGTGCATTATTGTCACGATGAAATCAAAATACCTCGATCAATGCGCAGGATGATTAAAGAGAGATTTTCACGAGGGTGGAGTAAAGTGGGGAGTGGGTGAGGATTAAGGAAAGTATAAGGAATTGAAATAGCTGCACGTATTTACTTTCAATCACATGCACTATCAATGAATATTTACAATATTCTATCATCTAATGGCTAATAATGTACACATATCTATACTTCGTCCGAGAAGGAATACTATTGATAATGTCCACTCTAGTCAGAATATATATCGCCCCAAGCTAAGCCAGCTACGATATATGTATATACACGACAAACACAAATCTTTGAACCTTCTCCTCATTTATTACGAAAACGAACCAAAATTGTTTTAAAGTTTAAGTATATATTCACGTATATATAAGCAACGTAACAATATATTTCATACATGCATACCTGTTTATAGAAAGAAGATTGAAAGTAATTTTTTTCCGAAGAGAAGACTTGCCATGTTTGGTACGGGAAAAATGTTTTCTGGAAATGAAATAGGAAAAATGCATGGACTTACAACATATATAATAAGTCAATCATAAGGTAATGCATTTTTCCATTTTCTTTCTAGAGAACACTTTTTCCTATATCAAACATTACCGATGTGTCTTACCAGTGTGCCACCGAATCAATCTGGTCCTGTTTGATAGAATTTGGGGAGAACGGTAGAGTAAAGGGCTGGCCAGCAGCCACATAGGCAGGCTGAGAAATTAGATTTGTGGAAGAATAGACACTAGTTAAAGGTAAATTATTATTATTAACAGTATTAGCTTGGTCTTGGTGGTGGTGGTGATGGTGGAGCCTTTGCTCAGAACGTTGTTGTTTTGGGATATTAAGCTTCTCTCCTTCTATGTCTCTATACTTTTGAAGGTAACATTTTAAAGGTTCCACGTAATCCTCAAACCCCAGGGTTGTGATTGCCCATATAATATCATCTCCATTGATGGTCTTCCTCTTCTCTTTTTGACATCTATCAGAGGCTTCCCCGGTGACGAAGCTGATGAACTCCGATACACATTCTTGAACGGTCTCTTTAGCGTCCTTTGAGATTTTTCCATTCGCAGGCATAACTTTCTTCATGATTCTTCCCACATTGGCTATGGGGAGAAAGCGATCTTGTTCTTTGTTGCTGCTGCTATTGTTATTATTGTTGGTGCTTGAAGAAGTCTTTAGGGAGGGGCTTTCAGGGCTTCCTGTAATGACCCCATTTGGCAAACTGTTGTAGCTCTCATCGTCCATGATCTTAGAGAGATTGAGTGGTATTGTATGAAGCTCTTGAAAAAGAGTAATTTGATATTGTATAGTTATGGGACACAAGATGAACTGAAAGAGGGGCATAAAAATAGGCAAGCAAAGTGGGATTAATTGGACTAGTAAAAGTAAAATAGAATTTTAAACCAAAAAAATTTAAACAGGGCATATATAGCTTATTTTCACCGGTGAAGGCCCCAGGGACTCGCTCTTGATGTGGACTTGCCACGACCCAATCCTTCTTATAAAAGATAGAGATTGCTCTCTTAATTGATGACAAGAGGGATCGATCGGATATATATGATCCATTTTTCAGACATATATGGCTGACTCAATAATGAATTCGACACTTCCATAATTTCTCGCTGTTATCAAACATGATTCGAGTTCATGCTGCTTTGCTGATTCGTCTTAGCAACGCCGCCCCTTCGTATGAAGTTTTATCTCCCATCGTGGGGTACTGTTATTGGCAGATTGGTGGTAAAGAATTTTATTAATACTACTTTCAGTTATTTAAAATATACTACCTCTGGTCCTAATTATAAGAGCCAGTTGACTAATTTAAAGAGATTAAGGAAGTAAGTTGAGTTAGTTATTTGTCCTAAATAGGTGTTGTCTTTCCTAAAATATCCTTGCTAATCAAGTGTATTGACTAGAACTATCATTGTTAAAAGAGCTACTTTGAAAAAAAAAATGTATAAATATGAGAGACAAAGTGAATTGGAGTCTTATATTTAAGACCAAAATAAAAATCAAACAGGATCTTATATTAAAGATCGGAGGTAGTAAGAACTAATTTGACGTTTAATTTAACTCTAAATATAATATTTTAATTTATTTTGATTCTCATATTTATTTATTTTTTTAAAGTAGTCATTATAGTAGTTGCACATGTTAAATGTCTCATCAAATAGTAATTATAGCTAACACACATAATTAATAAGGTATTTAAGGAAGGACAACACCTATTTATTACAAATAATTAATTTAAAAATATTTTTAATCTATTTAAATTAGTCAATTAAGTATAATATTAAAAATCAAAATACCCTTATAAGAAACAACATTTGCAGACCAAGTAAGATAATTAATCTTGAAACTGATGGAGAAGAAATCCCAGTCTCTGACGCTGCAATGGACGAGGTATTAGGTACATCTACTATCCTTCTGTGCTCCCCCTGCGATATGCTGTCCCGATGATACCAAGGAAATTTAGGTACTTTAAATGTAAAAATTAAATTAAATGAGGAGTTTGTCTTTATCGTAAATGTACCTTAATTACTTTTATTAATTGCATAGGGATTTTTTTAGGAAGTGGGGACTAGTGAGGGCTCTCTCTTTTCCGAGAAGATGTTATCAACGGGACGCCCTCTCCATGTTCACCAGCTACTGTAGTGCGTTCCTAAATTGCATGGGCGTCTGTGAAGACCATCTACTTGTTCCTCACTGTGAGTGTCGACTGTCGAGCAAGCGACCTTCATTTTCACCCGTCACACAATTTACTCCCACGTACTAATTGTACGTAACTTCTAACGTATTTTAAAAAATCTTAAATTTTATTAATTTAATTTAAAATTTATTTTTTAATTTTATTCTTATTTAATATACATTAAATAAAGTTAACACAAAAATAAATAAAAGATAAAATTGTATATTTGTATAAAATTTTTTTTCAATATCTTCTCTTCTGTTTTATAAATAGGATTTACTTATATATACTTATCTCGTTCATTTATAAGTTATTTTTAGCATGTTTAACACATACTAATAAAAATTTTGAACTTTATTAACTTTTAATTCAACAACTTTTTAACTTTATCTCTATTTAATATATATTATAACACATGAAAACAAAATTAACATAATAATAAATAAAAGTAAAATTATATATTTATATAATAAAAAAATAAAAATTGTATATTCATAAAAAAATTTCTCTCTCTACTTTAGAAATATAATTAAAAAAAAAATTTCGGTTCTCTTTATCCTCTAAATAGCATCTGAGAAGTATATTGTTAAATTTTAAATGACTATCAAAGAAAGTCCATTCTTTGAAGTGTTTCTTTTAATTTAACGAAGTTTCACCAGTGTTTTTTTTAAAATTTTTTTTTTTTTGAGCCGATACTCGTTTCATCACGCTCTGAGAAGCGCAGAGCGCATTTGAATGGGGCAAGACTGATAAAAGAACATAAAAGATTCGAAGCTCTTGTCAATATCTAAGAGCCCAAAGCTGATGATATTTCAGCTTCAGTCTTGCAGCAAAATTATCTTGCAAGTTTGCCCAATACATGCAGATCCAATAGCCTTTCACTCTGGCGCTCCCTCTGTTTTCAATTGAAGAAATCACAAATCTAACGTGAAAACCAACACCCTGTTTTTTAACAATGTTAAACCTAACAGCGTTCTTCAGTCCCAAAAAAAAAAAGAACAACAGCGTCCGAGTAATCTTATAAGGGAATTACGTCGTTGCATGAGACTTGAATTCAAGTAATATATTCTTCTAGTTCTTAATATAAAACCTATTTAACTAATTTAATTAAACTAAAAAAATTAAATAAGTTAGTTGTAAAAAATATAATATGTTTTTCCTTAAACACCATAATCATCTTTTTTAATATTCTCTCTCCCTCACTTTTTTGATTATGATTCAGTGGGTATTTATAAGGATAATTTAAGAAAAATTGATAGAAATAAGAAATAAGTCTTATATTTAGAACTAAAACTAACTTAATAATTAAGTTCTATATTAAGGACCGGAGGATTAATTAGCCTAACCAGTGCCAAAAAATTTTATTAGGCTTCTAGCAACCAAAATACGCTTTACAATTACGAGAACATAATCAAACTGACTGCCTTACCAACAACTTTAACAAAAACAAGAAAATAACCCTCTAAATTGAGATCAAAATCGACAAGCTTCTAACTTTTATCCTACTAATTTTGGCCCCAAAGATCAAAAAACAAAATATGGTTACCCTCCTACGGTATCACCTTATCGACATTTTGATCACGCTGAAGATCTTTAGGAAGAGCAAGAGCATACAGGAGTGTCTCCTTCTTCTTAGGCCGCCAAGTGGACTTCTGGGCACTTAGAAATCCATTCTTATCGTTAGAGTAACTCGTGAGAATTTCCCAATGCAAAGACTTCACCATCCCCTCGATTTCCTTAATCATCTCAGATTTGTCGCGAACGAGGAACTTTCCTCCTGGCCTCAGAATCCGATCAACCTCGGCAACTACACCTGTCAAATTGCAACTGTAGCGGACACCAAAAATAAAATCTGGCAAAACCTGAGAATCAAATTCCTTGCTAACCTGAGAAATAATAAAAAGTAGTCATACCCACCTCTTCTTAAGCTTTGAAAACAGATTATTGGCATGGAGGAGATCATAACTCCTAGGATAAGTGCTGAATGATTCGCACCAATCATGATAGATGCCAAAAAGGCCACGGTCGTAAATAATAGGAAGAGTGTCAGCTGCGTCTATTGAAACCACGTTCATGACCCAAATCTCTAAATCCCTTAAAGCTGCAGCAAAACTGCATGGCAGAAACAGTTAGGCAGGAATCAAAGGCAGGCCGTAATGGCAAGATATTATGATTCAGAAAGAGCAAGTGACTTAGCGGGTAAAAAGAAAAGAAAAGATTTTTGCTCACCCTCCATAAACAGATCTCATATCCATGACATTCCTAACTTTTGACCAATCAACTCCAATCCCATTTAGATAAGACCCATATACTATATTTTTCCAGTTTTCATAATCAGTGGAAAAATCTTCAGGGGCAGGCTTTCCATAAACTCCAACTTGGGAACTCAGCAACCAGTATGGTGGTTTGGACAGTCTGGCTGGCCATTCTTCTGGCCATTTATATGCACGCTCAGTTGAATTCTCAGGTGCTTTGTGCATGCAAGTTTGTAATGGAACGTTCCTATCACATCAGACCGTAGAGGCAGCATCAATGTTTCAAACTGGTTAATTGAACTTTAGCCGATAAGAATTGCAATGCAAACATTTTCCATTTCTGGCAGAAGGAAGCATCTCTCCAAATGTGCAAGTTGTGCCATTTTTATATGCATGTAAAATGTCTCCTACGGCAGTACAAATTACAAAAAACAAACAAGAAAACAAAACCATGAAGGTCTGGCTGACAAAGTTTTCTTCTGCTATAGCAGCCAATGAAGACTTTTTCAACCCAATTTTGTGTTCAAAACACTACTAATATATCATTTAAGTTGTTGAAGAGAAAAATACCATGCTGCGTTAGGATCATCATAGTCTGGACAGAGACTAGGCTTCTCTTCTGAACGTTTCATGTAGCACTCATTAGATGCTGGCTTCCTGTAAATAGCTATACCCACTTTATTGACTCTATCCCTTTGGATTGACACAACTTCCCAGCACATTGCTTTTGTTAGTGCTTTCATGGCTGCAAATAAATTGACAAAACAAAAATGTAAGAATAAATACGCCTTCAGGCTGAAAAAGGCAGGCAAAAGTTTATTTTTCACCTACCTTGCCATATCTCCACATCTTCGTCTTGCTTCTGATAAACAGGAGTAGCAGACCACAAAAACAAACCACCAGGTCGCAATACTCGATTCAGCTCCAAGAGAAGCTTACCACCTGCAGTTGCACCAAAAGAAGAAAAATAAGCTTCCCAAATAAAAGCCATCATAGACTTGTCAACATAATCATCTATGGAAGGAAGTTGTCCTAAATCTAATCTAAATACCCACAAAAAGAGGATGTACAAAACCAATCCTGTACTACAACCTTAAATTTTAATGAAACCAGCAAAAACACAGAAGTCGTCATTGAAATAATTGCCTAAATGAAGGTAGATTAAAATAACTCTACAGAACCTCAAGCTTGGATTGGTATGAATTCATCTGATCACTAAAAAACTAAAAATAAGAATGGGGACATTAAAATACCTTCTACATGCCATGGAACTCTACAGCGTGCACAATGGACGGCGTCAAATACTTTCCCTGGGAAGGGAAGCCTCTTTGTGCCCATGACAGCTGATATAGCGGGAATTCCTCTTTCAAGTGCAAATTGTACCTGAGCTTCATGTTCGTCCTTTGGTGCAAATGACATCGTGAGAACATGCCTCTCAAAGAGAAAGCCTCCAAAGCTGGCAACGCCACATCCAACATCTAACACCACACGTGTGTGTTTGCCCCACTCAACTTCAGGTACCGACTGCATCAAACTTCCTTATAGTAAGCAAAATGCACAAAAACACCAAGAGGATACACCATTTGTTATTGAATATGTACATATGGATTTACAGAACATGCAGAAAAATGCAATCCAGGTTTACAATGATGGATATTAACCTTAAAAAATGATAAATCGAGTCAATGGTTACAAGAGATATGAACATGAATAGATTACCTGTTGTATAAAGTCAATGTAATGAAGAGCACCATGCTGGAACTGAGTTCCACCACCAGGAAAAGTAAGGTACTCGCCGGCCATTTTTACCCAATTCTGGTGCCCCTTGTATTGAGCAAGCATAGTGTGTGGAACATTGTGATACCATATCTGCAGGAGCAGAACTTATATTTCAGAGAGGTGTGAACAACCAATAGAGAACAACGATGAATTAGGATTTGAGTAAATTCTGGCGCCCCTCAAATTCAACCGGCAAAGTGTGCGGAATATTATCATACCACAATTGAGGGGAACTTATTATTCAATAACTAACTCGCATATTAGTAAGTTTATACCTTATCTCTGCTTCTGGGCCACTCAATCGGAGTTCTATATCCTTCAGGAAGAGGAAGAAGGCAGGTAGGAGCTTCTACAGGACAATGTCTTTCTCTATGTTCATAATGCTTAGTAGTCCGGAGATTCCTAATTGCTTGCCAGTTGTCAAGGCATGGGATGAAATCAGGACCAGAAGAGACATTGCAAAGTCTCCAATTGTATTGACCGGTAGGCTGCTTAGATAAATTTTGAGACTCTTTTTCACTCTTTGACTCTGATGACTGAGTTGAAAAGGACCCAATTCGAGTGGTACTTTCTTTCAGAAGCTCTGACTGTGCTCCAGAAGGATAAACCGCCTTTGAACTCTGGTTTTGCACAGAATCATCTGTTTTCTTCTCACTAGAGCTTTCGTCAGGGTCGTTAGTGCTTTGTTCTACCTTCTCTTCTATCTTACCATCTTTTGTTTCACTTGGACCATCTGATTGATTTTCATTTCCATCTGAGTCGGACTTTTTGTTATCATTATAATCATACTTCTTCTCATCCTCATTGGAATCATATTTCTTTTCAACTGTGGTGTCTTCAGCCTCTCCCATATTAGAAGCTTCCTTCTTATCGTTGTTGCTGTCTGTGTATTCTGGGACATTAGAGACAATGCTGTCAACCATGGTTGTATCCACAGGCAAATCACCTTGGTTATCTTAATTGCTGAGACTTGCCCCTGTTTTTGTCATTCCCCTGTTTTTCAACCTCAGTCTTTTCGTTTACTTCATTCTTATTCCCCTGAGACACATCTGCATTTTGCTCAGGAACCACGGAAGATGATGTCATCATCCAAATTCCAACCAACGATAGACCCACAAACATAACAACAGTCACTGTTGACCAGTAACTTGATGATGATCTTCTATTGTCTAATCTGGAATATTTCCCCGTAGCCATTTGGAGTGCAACTATTCACTGATATTTTGGACCTAATAATGAAGAAAGAAAACAATTAAACACCGCTCACATTGTAGGCTCTGCTGCAGGAAACACTTGGTTGCCAAAAATCTACACAATTAGCTAGCAAAGCGGCAAAAGCACATCATATAGAGAGCCAATTCACATTTACATTGAATTAGCTTGAACAGAGACTCAAATAAAATCAAGCACGTGATTTTGTCAAAGAGGATATGACTTGCGCTTCCGTTTTAGCAAAAGATACAGATGCTTTGCTAATATCACTATATTTAAAGGTAGATCTGAAAGATTTCCATCTTCCGTAGAATGCTGTGGCTTTTAAAAAGTTATGTTGTAGAATTAAAGCTGTTGTGGAGGAACATATCAAAGACTGTTTGGGAGAAATGTTACGAGAAATACAGCAAACTGCTTTTTGTAATTCTGATCAATAACGATTTGGAGTTAATAGTGTTATAAACCACCCTCGATATCAAAATAACTTAATTATATATTACATGGGTTGAATAGATATGCTTTAAACAGTGGTAAGGATAATAGTTAGAATTTAGAAGATATCGAAGGTTTTTTGGGGGGGGGGGGACTCATCCTGTCATAGCAGCTTCGAAATGCTTTCACAGGTCAACAGAACATGAGCTTTTAAGTTGTTCCGGACAAACACATTTAAGAAAACAAAGAAAAATAAAGAATATTGTTTTACCGTTATTGTCAAGAAGCGCTCTAACCAAAACTCCAAAAGCCACATAAATTACTGCCGTACAATTTAAAAAAAAAAAAAAACTTAAGTTTAACGGACATGCTGGAATCAAACTCAGATATGAACTCATAACGGAAAAGTGAACTTTACAGATGAAACAAGTTACAAGCAGAGTAAGAACTTCCGGTTGGAAACGGCAACTCGGATATATACACTACCGGGAAGAAAATTTAACAGGCACCAACCTTACGCCGAAAATTCTTTATAGACACAATGTGAAACATATGAGAAACAACTCCAGAAAAAAGAAACAGCAAAATTAGCAAAGAAACGGCCAGTACCACATTGTACACCAAAAGAAAATAAAAGTGCGAAAAAGTCCAATTTAGAGGAGGAACGCAAAGTTTAAACCAAGATATAGAAATGACAAAGGAAAGAACAAAAAAGCGAAGATTAGACGACAAAAGAGAGAGAAAAGAGAAAAGAAAGGCAAAAAAAAAAATGATACGCGAGAAGTAAAGAAGCAGAAAAAGAGAGGGATTGTAGGCACCTTTGCTGGGTTCTTAGGTAGCACAGAGATGAATCCGAGTAGGATGAGAAACGGCGACGGCGGCTATATCTACTATATATCCATTTTGAAGGATGCAGCGAGAAAAGGATATGAAACGAAAGGTTTGACAGAGAAGATGGGAAGGAATAGACAGAATGGGCGAGAAAATATGCGATTTTATAGAAAGAAGTAATTGCTTCAGATATGGCCGGCGGGTGAGGACATTAAAAATGATACTCCAAAATATAAGCTTGAAACGGATGAGAGAGAAACCAAGGTGGGAGCGCACCCACGTTACTGAAATCGAAAGGGGGACAATGAGAGAGAAGCGGCCCCTGTTAAAAGGAGAACGGAGGGTGCGGGCAATATCATTATTATTAGGTAAAGTAATTTTACGTATTGCATTGGAGGTATTCTTGTTTTTATAGTTAAAGCTACAAAATATAGGAGGCTCTTCTCGTTTCTGATTCTTCAGAACGCACACTAGTTTAGACAAGAAAGAGTTTTTAATTTTTAAATGCTTGAATAAAAATAACTTGTTAAAAATATATGGACTGGAATTATCGTGTCAACCAATGTACTGGGATTCTCAATGCTAAAAGACACTAATGGAGAGGTTAAAATAAGATATCACATTGGAAGCTGCACCTGATTCACGTTAAAGATGGGTTGTTTTTTAGTTGTCTTGGTTAACTAAGACGGTGCGTTGAGTAGAAGAAGAAGAGCACAGGTACGAAAGATCGTGTGATTCATATTAACTGTAAAGTGGTGGGGGCAGGTCCGTGTGTTTTTTAACTTTAGTTTTGTCCATTAACACTGCTCTAGCGGGACAGAATTATAGTTTTAGAAATAAACAAAGCTCTTCGTCATTGCAAAAGAAATTAAAAGATTGTTAGATTTATAGTACTTCTCCGGTTTTAAATATATAATTTTTTTTGTAATGTAATTTATATTATAAAAAAGATATATAGTAGGAATATTATATGCTTTAGATTCATTTCTCTTGGTGGCGACACGGGGATCACTTTGCGCCATTTGATCCGCTCAGTGTTACTGGCCCAACAAAAAGGAAGGTGGGTCCTGTCATGATCAATGTTTTTAGCGCGATGTTGACTCGGGCAACGAGAAAGCAAGGGGATCAGCCCGTATTTTTAAAACCCGAAATGAAAAGGACCGTACCCGTGGCTTGAGGGGCCCCTGCTTGAAGTAGGGAGAGGGACGCAACAGCGCCCTTCAAGGGGTGCCCTCACTGGATTATTCCTCACCGGTCCCAACTCCCTAGACGTGACGTGGATTTAAAACCCGAAGGTCAGGGGCACATATCCAGCACTTTCCATTGATTAATCATAAGTCAATAGCTTTGCGCAGAGTTTTGACTTCTGAAATCTACAGGGATTATTTTTATATATAATTTTGATTATATATATCCATGGATGTTGATGATTATTAAAGAGCAGTTATAATGAGAATGGATCCAAAGTTAGTCCTTTTTTTTAAATCCATATAGTATTTGTTATTTTGAATGGATCCTCAGTTTGGAATCTGAAGGGCACAGCAGGAATTCAATTGCGGAGTACACGAAATAATGGACGATCAACAACTGCGTGCAGAGAGGGCCCCCAAATTTGCATCTCGGCCATTCACACGGTGGCCGGGAGCTGCATCTGCCTCAGTCAAATAATTGTGCGCCTTAATTTGCGATTATAAATTCAAAATATTTAACCATTTTTCTTTGTCTTCTCCCATTCCATTTTTCTTTGCCATTAACTATTGGCTGATATTTTTCCTCGTAAGTCTTAAATTTCTTTCTCATATGATAATTAAGCATGATGGGCATTTCAGTGAAAAAAAAAAGCATTTAATAATCTATATATAACGACTTACGGGTGGGACAATCGAAACATCAAAACATCCTAACAAATTCTCTGTAATACTCAACACTGGGGGAAGCATTCTTCACATCAACAATAAAATAAATTCTTTGAAAAAAACAATTATGATGTTATTTCATGAAACAATGTAATACAATGTACAGCTACATGATAATATAAACAAGTTAATTCGTTTACGACCTATGTCCAAAAGTCAAGTCTAGCTATATGATAGATCAATTCAACAATTCAATAAAAGAAAATAAAAAATACCTTAAATTATATTATATATATAATATAGTTTAAAAAATAAACAAGTTAAGCTTACAAACTAGGTTTTAAGTAACTAGCGAAAACTCGATCTTAGGTATAACAATTATTGATGAGTATATGTGTGTATGGGTGATACGTACTTTCACGTATAACGTGCTGCCGGTCATGTACGCAACTCGCTCTTAGTATATACTATCTACAGTTCTAATTATAAGATTTTGTTTATAGTCTACAAATAAAATTTTATAATTAGGACCGGAGGTAGTATATGAGTGACATGTTTAATCATTTCGGTACATGCAAATTCGGATGATGGCCTTGATTATTTAACTGCTGCATGGCCAAAGGATAAATCCCTAGCTGATCCAGAGGTCAAATTTTAGTTGCCTCGCCGGCTGCCTCACGAATCTGGACGTTCTCTGGCGTTTTCAACAGAACCAGCCAATAAGGTACACACACACACATATTTCTTTCATTCTTCTCCTTCCGCTTATTCTTTTCCCACTCGTACGCATGCAGCGAAACGATCTGCGATTAATTACGAAAGTGGATTCACACCTTCAACTGAGCCACACCCACGAAACGATCTACGAGTCCACAAATAAAATACTGGAATTCAATATAGGCTCGTAGTTTACGCTGCATTTCCCAATTTCAATCTCCTGGATATGACTCAGCTTTCAACTTTTATTGGTTTGAATTTTAGGTTTTGTTCCTACCAGATGGCCACGACAATGTATATTGTCTGTCGTTATTATTAGCACATATAAATGCAGCATGAGAGCATATTAATACTGCTATCGCAATTGCAATATCCCGTCGGAATAAATGTACAGCAACAGAACCCAGCCAAAGATCTGTGGGTGCTAATAATGCATTAGCAGAGATGACAGGAGCAAATATTTATGGCTTGAAAGGGAGGTTTATCTCTCTAGCTCTGGTTGCTCTTGTCCTTATCATCACGTTTCAGTGGGCATGGAAGAAAAATCCATTCGCCAGAGCATATCTGTCAGCCCAACAGTGGTATAATATGCCTTCTGCAGGTTGGATTTGATCACTGCATGCATGTGCCCTCAATTTAATTGCCATTCACTTTTGTTTTACGTAGGAAAACGAATAAATATATGGAGGAGATACAAAATATGAGGATAAGTGATCCTCCCTAATTCTTATTAAGACAGAAAAATATCCCCTGCCCCGTAAAAATTTCTCTATATACACTAGTGGAATTCCTTCAATAAATAGTACGGACAAATATATATCTAAAGAAAATGTATCTATCTTGTAGAAAAGATTTATCTGGAGAGGCAGGAGAGCACAGTGCTGCACATTCCTACTAAAGTTATGCTAATTCTGTTGGCATTTAGTTCATAGAACCAAACATGGGTTACAGAACAATCAATGTTCGATCATTGACGATGCTGATAAATTTGTTCATTGCACAAGTTCCAAATTAAATTCACTCATGAACAAAATGGATTTAAAATTGCTACCATTTCGTTGGCTTAGGATTGCTTGATGAAACCCCAAATAATCCAATGGAAACTGCGAATCTGACAAAAGGTGAAGAAAGCTCTTCGAGTTCCGTCACAGAATTTGAAACTATTAACTTCGCTGAGAATATTCTATAATACTACCGTTGCTTAGGCTTGCCAGCTGAGGCCCCAGATAATGCACTGGGAGCTGCAGACCGTATAAAAGGTCAAGCAAAGTCTTCAAGTTCCGTCAAAGTCGTTCAAACCAAAGGGAAACTTAATAATGACAGTGCAGTGCCTATACATTTTGTACAAGCGGAATCTCCTCAAATGCAATACAATCAAAATGTTTCCAGAAAAGAGGGTAGGTTCTTTTTCATTTTTTATTTTTCTGAATTATTATAATGGGCATTGGAACATGTCACTGCATCAATGGGTATGTGTATCTTTTGGAATTTATATGTATTGGTAATACAACAACAAGCAGCTTTGTTTTTCCATTAAAAAATTATATATATACTACTTCCGATCTTATTTATAAGACTTTGTTTATAGTCTATAAATAAGATCTTATAAAAAAATAGGGGTTCATATTTGTCAATACAAATAATTCTCGATGACAATAGTGTAGTTGGAATATAACTGCATATTTGGCTGCTTAATTATTACTAATGGCTTGAGTAGAACATAAAGTTGCTGAGAATATAATGACCTGAGACCTTTTTCTTCTTTTGAAGGTTTCTCATCCCTTAACTCCGTCTTGTCTTGGGATATATATTTGTTCATTTTCCAACCATGCAGCAAGTTAGATGTTTATATTTTGTCTTTCTCTTAGTCTATAATAGTTGAACAATTAATGAATATCACTTCACCGTCATGCATGCTTTCATCTTTGGGGGGAAACTCCATGAATTTCGATTACCTTCTGCAACATATCAAAGCCAGGTTTAATGCACAAATTAAGGGAACTTTTTTGCCTGCATCAACTTATCCTACTACTGATCGAATTTGTATGCCATCACATGTGCAGTCTGTAACTACGCCAAGGGTAGATGGATTGCAGACAGCAGGAGACCATTGTATTCTGGCTTTGGATGTAAACAGTGGTTATCAACAATGTGGGCATGTAGAGTAACTCAGAGACCAGATTTCTCATACGAGCGGTTCCGATGGCAACCACAAAATTGTGATATGCCAGAGTTTGACCGATTTGCATTCTTGAGAAAGTAGGTATAACTATTTATTTCCCTGATATAGTACTTGAAGTATATAGCTTAACAACATTATGATATGGCTGTATTTACTCAACGATCTCTCATTTTCTTTTGTTTATATTTGGATGGCAAAACACAAACTTCTCTGTGAATACCAATTTGTGATATTGCTTAAAAAAAAAAAAATCGTGCTTACTATTAGTCTGGTCTCTAGAATGCAGGACAAAACAATTGCATTCATAGGAGATTCACTGGGACGGCAACAATTTCAATCTTTGATGTGTATGGTCTCAGGTGGCAAACCGAGCCCTGAAGTTAAAAATATAGGATATGAGTATGGTCTTGTTAAGCGCCGGGGGGCCACACGCCCTGATGGCTGGGCTTACAGATTTCCCAAGACCAACACCACAATTCTATATTATTGGTCATCCACCCTTTGTGATCTGCAGCCCTTAAATACAAGTGACCCTCGCACCAATGTTGCCATGCACTTAGATCGCCCTCCAGATTTCATGACACGTTTCCTCCATCGCTTTGATGTTTTGATCCTTAATACAGGCCATCACTGGAACACTGGGAAGCTTAATGCCAACAGGTGGGTAATTTATGTCGACGGAAAGCCAAATGAAGATGAAAAGCTATCTCAAATGGAAAATGCCAAGAACTTCACAGTCTTTAGTATTGTGAAATGGCTTAATTCACAAATGCCGTCACATCCCAGGCTCAAAGCTTTCTTCAGGACTATATCACCAAGGCATTTCTTCAATGGAGATTGGAACACTGGAGGCAGCTGTGACAATAATATCCCATTATCTAGCGGAAGTGAGGTTGTAAAAGAAGGATCAATGGATCTAACCATCGATAGTGCTCTAAAGGGTATGAAGATTAAAATACTGGATATAACTGCTATTTCACAATTGAGGGATGAGGCTCATATCTCCCGTTACAGTACAAGAGGAATCCTTAATGCCAGCGATTGCTTGCACTGGTGCCTGCCCGGAATCCCGGACACATGGAATGAGCTCCTTGTTGCTCAGATATAGAGGGGGAAACAGAGAATACAGCTTATAGGGAAAGAAACTTCAGGTGGTCCTTAAATGAAAAAAATCAACTAGATCGAGCCCTATGCGACATTTGAGGTTTTAGTAAAGACTACGACTTGTTAGAATTTAATTACTGTGTTGTTGTATGGGTATTCAATTGGATGCCATCTTGTGCAGTTCCTGTCTGTGAAGACAGAGCTAGACCTCGCGACGTAGTGATTAAGGATGGCAAAAATGCCCGTGTTCACCCGTCTGTTCTGGCTAAGTGTAATCCCTGCCTTTTCCTAATGCTTCGGAGCGTGCAATTGCAATACGCTACAACCATAACAGACAAATACCACTCAAAAGTCAAATGGCAATATTTTTTATAGCATTTTGCTATGACCCAATCCCAAATGGACCAAGCTGACCCAAGAGAAGATGAGAATGAAGGCCCAAAACAAGGAAATCGACTGCGGAGGAGCCTAAGGATGAGCAAAAAGCTTTGGAAGGCTCGGGAATTGGAGGGGGACACATCGTTATAATAATTAATAAGATTTGACAACTCCCTTTCAGGCTAGATACCTGCTGCTGCCACTGCCCATTCTATCGTCATTTTCGGCTTCATTACCGCCGCCACCCTCTTTCAGCACGCTTCCAAGTGCTTGGTATCCCCGTTTTGCATGATGACACAAACAAGGCGTGTATGGGGAATGACATGCTCATCTGCAATTACCATTAAATAAAATGGGCCCAAATCCAATCTCACATCTGGAATCTCATTTTTAATTTGCATACCCCATAAGTGCATACCATGTACCTCCCCGCGTCCTCCCATTAGCTATGACTAATTTTACTCATTTACTGGGAGGTGCCCGTCTCTTTCACCCTTGACTTTATGCCTTTCGCACGCCCCTCCTTGCCCTGTGCTTAGTGATAACTGAGAAGAAAAGGAAGGACTCCCAAGAAATTTCGCAGAAATTCTGTCGCCCAACTTCATATTATATCCCTTTCGGCCTTTCCTTCCCCTCATTTAAAGGTTGACATGAGGAAAATCAGAAAATGATCGAATTGGAGACTCGCACCGCCACCTCCACATCTCATAACCCCATCTCCTCCTTTTAATAATTAATTTTGCAATAAAAATTTACCCCCTCTCATCATTGTTAACAACTGTTTTTTTCATATTTTCATTAAATAAACGAATAATAAATATACAAATAGTCATATTTAATTGTAATGGGGAAAACCGTTGTCATTTCGTCACTTGTACATTTTATAAAAAATAAATAAATAGAAAATGCGTTTGGTTAGTTTTGACTTTCCAATTCAAAAAATAGGCGCCACTGACTATTTCCAAAGCCAAGGACCCAAAAAAATGATGGTGATTGTACGAAGGATCTTCTAGAGGCACGTGATTGATTGATCCATTGAAATGGATTCTTACACACGTTACTATACGAAGGATTAGAAGCCGATACAATTTTAGATTTTACTTTTAGTGGTTACTTTGCACTCGGATAATTAAAGACGTGGAATTATGTCACAAGTTTCAATATATTTAACAAAAAATGCAATCAATAACCTTCTAAAAAGTAATTTTTTTGTAAATATTTAATTTTATATCTTCTTTTGATATTAACAATATTAGAATTAAAGTATTGAAGATATACTTCATAAAATTAAATGAACAAACTGACATATTGTCTAAAATTGGAGGGGAAAATGCATTTTTGAAAAAAAAATCATGTAAGGAAAAAAACTCATTGATCTATCTGTGTTTTAAAATGTTTACCAAGTTGATGCATGTATTTTATAAATAATAATTCGATTTGATTTATGGTTATTGCTAATTAATATTGAAGGGGAAAATAATACATAATTGTACCCATTATTAGAATTATAAAGTCACATTTATTTTGAAAAAAAAAACTCTAGAGTATAATGTATTTTGAAAAAATATATAATATTTTTCTAATTCTAAATGTAAAATCCACTTTGTAATATAATTTATATTATAAAATAGGTTGTACATTTTAGGACTAGAGGAATATTAAGATAAGATCTACAGTTGTGATTCAAATAACTAATTCACGGATAACAAACAATTAATTAAAACAGGTTAAAATAATAAATAAGTTAGAAATATATATTTATTTCTAAATATGCCCTTATAACAAATGAAAGAAGAATAAAAGAGAGTGTGTGAAAAAATATAATAAGAGAGAAATACTTAAGAGTAACATTAGAAAAAATGTATTAAATGTTAAGACAAATCCAAATCAAAATTTATAAAATAGATCATACTCTTTTTTAAATTTGAAACTTACAAATACGATAAGAAGAGTACGTTGTTAAACATTTAATTTGGGCTAGGGGGTGAAATAGATTTTGATTAGGAGAGGCAAGACCCATCCTACATTCTGAAATGGTTCGGTTCTTGGCTATTGGCTCATGTGCACTGGAAAAGAACAAAGGATTAATATTTTGGCGACAAAATGAAAAATAAGTGCTAGTATCTTTAATTTACATTTTAAAATTTGTGGGTCCAAAGTATCATGTCTTCTTTTTATTTGGCCCCACAGCATAATTTTCTCGTCCCAAAATTTCCTCGTTCTGGAGCACATATATGGCGAAGGTCAATGGGATGAAGGTTAGCGTCATCTATTCCTTGCATTTTCGACCCACGTACGTTAGCTTACGTATCTGCCTTTTGAGCCCAAAATGTCAACCTGGGGTCCTCTTTAGATTATCACGTACCTCAAACGTTCTGCAGCGATCACCACAACTTGCTCCAATCTCACCCAAGCACTATATATACACACCAACACAGCGCATATTTCTTCCACACAAAACTCGGATCGAGAGTAATATAGTTTTATGAGAAGGGCAATGGCGGACACCAAGTTCAGAGGTTCCTTGGAGGAGGAGGAGGAGGAGAGGAGCAGGAGAAGTGGGAGTAACAATGAAAGAGTAATGCCACCTGTGAGAGGGCGTATCAAGCGTCGCATCTTCTCTGCTGTCCTCCGTAAAGTGACTGTTACTCTCCACAAAACCTTTATCTGCTTCACTTGATGGCTTAATTATTAGCCAAGCTTGGTTCTAAGTTCGTTGCTGTTTCAAGCTTCCTTTGTGTTCAATTCTTATGTTTATATAGTCGGTGGTTGTGCTGTACATGCCAATATATAGAAAGATAGATACTATTATGCCAGTGATTATAAAATATGTGTGTGTGTGTGTGTGTGTGAATCTTATATATAGTATGCTTTCATACATTCCCTCGTTTTCTTATATTTTTGTGCGCTTTCAGCAGTTTATTCATTTATGGTTAGGAGATTGGCAATCAGAATCTTTTATCATCATTGTGAGGGGAGAAGGGAATGAACTCTTAAGTTCTTTTCAAAGTATTACAACGAGTGTCTTATCGTACTGCGTCAAGAATCAGGCCGGTAAACTTCATAGAAGTTTCTGAATGTGTGTGTATATGCGACAAAAGCAAGTTACGTGGTTGACTTGTTTAATTAATATTTTCAAACGGGTTTTAGCAAAATAAAAAGAAATTAAAGAAACCCGTTTATATATCATAAAAATTTAATCCTTTAACTTTATATAAAATTTCAGTTTGGTCTCTTAATTTTAAAAATTGTATTTTTAATCCTTTAACTCTAAAATTGTTAATCTTAAATAATAATTTTTTATAACAATCATAGTGTTTTGAAAATTAAACTTAATATTATAGCATTTAGTGTTGTGTTATCAATATTCAAGAGTTTGATATCATCGTTTTTTGTTAATGGCTATAGAGTTAGAAAACTAAAAATTTATTTTTTAAAGTTAAGGAATTAAAATAAAACCTTGTATAAAATTAAAACACTAAAAGTATATTTTAGCCTGTCGTGAATCTCTCGGGAGCAACATACACGGAGGCTCTGATGGAACAGGTCATTGTCATTAATTCAATACGAAATTCCCTCACTCTCTCCGCACCAAAATTTGTTCGGGCACGCAGCTTCAACCCACGTTGACGTCCAAGTCCCTCGCTTTTCACCTTTTGACGTTTAGGCTCTTGGCTTCCAACTTTAATTAATTGATGGGCTGGCTTGGTTTTGTATGTAGTTCACACACACAGACACACGGAGTCAACTATTCCGCGTAATGTACATGTCTATGAGACGGCTGGGGAGGAAAGAACAAAAGAAAAGTGGGGTTTAGATAAGGTGAGCAATGAGAAATGCGTACTCCTTAACAGAGGAGCGGATAACATCATGAAGCATCAACAGAGACTTCGACACATAAAGTCAAAGATATGAAGGGGCTAGGGGGCTACCGGGAAGGGAATCGTACTGTTTGATGATATGCGTCAAAGGAACAGTTTCAGTTGAAAGACGTGTCTGGTCCCGTATCCTCGATGAGGCTGGCAAGACCTTCAAGCCAATCCCGGAGCTTTGAATCAATTAATCGTCTCAGGTTTTGCTTGCAATGATGGCCGAGGAAGGGAGCCCTGAATTTCATCGTTAAGATGCAAAATGCAGATTGAGATTTTTACAGTTAATGGCCATTCGCTGAACAATACTTGCAGTGTTGGGCTCTGTTACTAGGTATGATGAGATTTGATTATCGCGCGAAGTCGAGTGGGAAATTCATATTCTCACGAGCTAGTTGGAGGACGAAAGTGACCCTGAACTAATCTCACAACAGGAAATGCTAAGAAATGCTGCAGTTTAGAGTTTATTTTGCCTAATGGTTATGGGTCACTAGTCCATCTGCCGCATCATATAGTATAGTGCCACTTGTGCATCTACCGCTTCATATAGCCATTCAAACCAAGGGGAAATCCAGTAAATAGAAACCAGAATTTGGTGGCGGTTTAATCGAAATCTGGCTCATTGAACAAACCTGGAGGAAAGCTCTAGTTATAAACCCCTGTTTTTTCATTTGTGAGTGATGGAATACAAGATAAAGCCCAAAGGTCCCCTCGTGTTGCGTCACAGTGCAAGCCCAAGACCAAAGCTCACAAGGAG